CCAAGCAGCAGCAGCAGCAGCTACCAAGCAGCAGCAGCAGCAGCAGCTACCAAGCAGCAGCAGCAGCAGCAGCTACCAAGCAGCAGCAGCAGCAGCAGCTACCAAGCAGCAGCAGCAGCAGCAGCTACCAAGCAGCAGCAGCAGCAGCAGCTACCAAGCAGCAGCAGCAGCAGCTACCAAGCAGCAGCAGCAGCAGCAGCAGCTACCAAGCAGCACCACCAGCTACCAAGCAGCAGCACCACCAGCTACCAAGCAGCAGCACCACCAGCTACCAAGCAGCAGCAGCAGGAGGAGCAGCAGCAGCAGCAGGGAAAGAGTGAGCTTTCCTTAGAGTCTTTCGTGCCCCAACATTTGGTCTCGAACAGTTGCACATATAGGTGCTGCCTGAGTAATTGTAGAAGGGCGACGTGGAAAGACAGATATATCTGATATATATGTTTTTTACACGAAAAATTGCTGACGATGCAGGCAGCAGCGGTGTGCATGATTGACATCTAGGGGTTGCATGCGAACATGTGTCAGCGACCGAAGACTCCGTCGCAACGCTTGTGCATGCTCCCTGTCGCTCGAACATGGAACGCGGACTACCATGAGTGAAGCAAACAGCCCGTTCAAACATCTTGCTGGGCTCTGTCATTCATGTGTGTAGTAAGTATCATCTTTTGATCTGCATGGATAGCGGATAGTGCATTCTGATTTGTACTCTTGGGGGTTGTGGGGTGGGTACATGCCTGTACAAGCTTCTTAAGGATATACTGAAATTAGCTTCGTTTCACGACTCAGAGGGAATGCAACTACCAACAACAGCCAACAACCCCAAACAGCAACAGCAGCAAAACGGAGCAGACAACAAGCAGCAGGCAGCCAGCATCCAGCAGCAGCAAGCATGCAAGCAGCAAGCAGCAGCAACCAGCAAGCAGCCAAGAGCATCCAGCCCCAAGCATGCAAGCAGCAAGCAGCAAGCAGCAGCAACCAGCAAGCAGCCAAGAGCCAGGCGCAAATGAGATGCCAGCAGCAGCAGCAGCGACCAAGCAGCAGCAGCAGCAGGTACCGAGGAGGAGAAGGGTGGAGTTGAACCCCGCGAGGGGGGGGGGTATAGTCCTGATATATCAGGTAACAGCACTCAGGTCCTGGGCTCCCACCCTCCTTGCTAAAGCAAGACAGACTCCAGCTAGCTACAGCTAGCTTTCGTGATTTGTTGTCAACATAAATGTTCAAGGTGTTTAACACAGTTAGCTGTGTTTGCAAACTTCTCTATGTTCAATGTTTGTCCTTTGGCTCCCAACCTCCGATCAAAATACTCCGCTTCCCGGCGCAAAAAGGCTGTGGCGTGCCTGATCCGGACCTTCCCGACCCAGGAGAGAGGAGCACACCTGCTAGCGCAAAAACAAGCTTAGCTCCGGGAGAATCATTAGTTGCAGCACACAAAATCAGACCTAATTAGGAGCAAGGACGCTACTAGGAACAAAGGGCATCGCTACTAGGAGCAAGGACGCTACTAGGAATTGCAACATCCTGTGACATCTGGATTTTCTCCATGTCCCAGAATGGCTTGCCATGCGTACGCAACCAGAACTGACAACACGCAAATGGGTGCCCGAGTCTATTCTTGACCGACAGCCACAAGAGCCAATCTTTGCATGATTCTGTTGAACAACCAACTGTGGCACCCGGACGCCCCAGTGACACTTCAATTCACCCCGCATCTCGCACATGTAGCCTTAGTCACAACACCAACACGTTAAACTTCATTAAACAACGTCCAAGGATTCCAAGATCTATTTGGCAGGCACGACCACAGGCAATAAAGCCATCTATGGATGCATTTTGAGAATCGAAGAGTCAATCAACAGTCTGATATCTCTGCTAAACATGTTACGGCACAGCAGCACCAAAATTGACCTGGTTCTAGAGTTTGCTTTTTCCATAAACTTTGCAACTGGGCAACTTGCAAGGTGTCGGAGTGGATTGATTACTGAGAAAAGCACTTCTGAAAGGCAATTGAAACTGGTGAAACCCAGCCTGGCCAAAAAGGACAGTCTACACTCTCGAACAAGTCTCTACACTCTCCGAACCAATCCAACTGTCTTCTTCGCCCCCGTCCAACTCTCTGCAACAAACTGAGACACCCGAACCCATGTTGGATCGCCAGTATGGCGAGCCCATGGTCCGCATGCCATTCACATGCCACTTCATGCCTCGGCTAAGAGTGAGCAACTGCCAGCAGTTGCTCCAAGTCTGCATGTTCTAAAACGATGTCTCAATGTATTAAAACCAACGAGTCGCCAGCGAAGTCCCTAAAGCACCTGTCCAACACTAGGTCCAAAAACCGTCTACCGTGTCTGATAATTGCTAGAGGTATTGCAGTTTGGAACCACAAAAAAACAACCAAATCCTGAGTCCAGCGCCGTTCAAGAAGTTGGGTGAGCCAATCTTGTTTGCATCGTGCCTCAGAAAGCTTCTGGTGCAACCCACAGAACATGACATGGCACAACTGCATATTTACAAGACCACCCTCTTGTTTTTTTAGCTTGTCATGTATGACTGCTGTTGTCTTTCTGAGGCAACAGATTCCATTTATATAAAGTAATTGCCAGAACAACGCATTCCAAACCACAACTTCGGCAAAGGTTCTTGTGAGTATAGTAAGACTAAGCTGCGCAGTGTAGTAAGCATGAAGACTGCAACAATACACTGCAATCTTTGTCAAATCAAAGCCCGTGACCTACGACAAACTTCTGCGCCCTAGGTCAGCTACAAGAAACCAATGTCAGTGATATCAAAGCGCAACTAGTCTCGATTAGTTCAGTGCATTTACACAAATCCATGTGCAAAAAATGCCTTCTGATAGCCTCTGCTTTCAATCAGGCAAACATGAAGCTGATGGATGATATCATTGGGAGCAACTCATTGTCTTGCTGCATGCAGAAAGACCTTACACACTGCGTATTTATGTACCGTTGCCACCACAGTACATGGCTGATATTACCTCCTTACTTATCTAATTACTTATTTAGTCAGCTACTTCCTTCCTTCCTTACCTACCGACTCAGGCCACAGCTTACATGTGAGGTTCTTCGGCACCCCTCTCTTTGCAGTGTTTGAGCTTCCATAAGCGATAAGTTATGGTTGCCTAACTCTGTTTCGTAGAAAAGCAACACGCCTGTGTTTATTGCAAAGTTTGGATGCTGTCTCTCCTCGACCAGTGGCGAGCAACTTGACCCAGGAAAACCAACAAAGCCAATGGATTCATTGGTATGGATGGTATGGTTAGTTTCGCTCGAGGTTTTCCACCAACATTTCTGGACCTCTACAGCAGGCTTTGGTTGCAAATGTCCGCGCCTGAAAAGGTTGACCTTACTTGATATGCTGCTTGGTTTTTTCCCAAGCCTTGTGAAGGGCTTTTGTGGCATGACCTGTATGTTCTCACTCTTGCCTTTGTTATTCATACCCAGGTACCTCTGCTCACAGAAGCCGATATACTTCTCTACACACAGTCCCACTCCGTAGCAGGTTTAAGCTTTTGGTGCAAACAGTTAAACAATGCAAATGATATATTATTTGCCTGTCCATTAGGAGTTATCAATCTTTAAAGCTTTGCTGCTGAGGCTACAGACCAAATGCCCTGATCCGTTAGCACCTGCCAAAGTCGTTCCCGTACAGAAGAGGAAACAAATGGGCGATGGTCTAGACATAGTAAATTGAGCTCAAGAGTTCAAAACATAAAACATCACCAGTCGCCTTGAATTTGCAGGGCTGTCTCATTAGCCTGAGCTGGCAAACCAGCAAAGCTGCAACGTACTACGCAGATTGAGAGTGCCTCAAAAAATAACAAGGCTGAATCAGGCTGAATCCAATCTTGTTGCCGTACTTTCCCATTTCTATCCAAGGCTGCTACTGATGCAGCAATTGTGCAACCAATGGCATCTGATGGACCTCGGCCCAAGAAAATGCAACACACATGCCGTACTCCGCACGGCTATCACTAGCATAGGCATAAACCTTTCAGGAATAAATGGAGTCTGTTTTTGTGAACTTAAGTTGGAGGGCATGGCTTTTAGGTCTATTAAGCCTTATTAAGCAACATTCCGGCCCGTGGCCGAGTGTCCGAACCACTTCGCTTGGAGGAACTCTCACTTTGCTATCATCTCCACATTCGATGAAAGCAACCTGGTGCGACGGGTATGTTCCAACACATGTAAATGCTGCTAGAGATGACAGGCCGTGATGCAACGTGACACAACGTACTTCTCAGTTCTTAGTTTGAACAAATAACACGGCTGAGCGGACAAAATGCTGGCTATCCCCACCTTGCCAGTGTCATTGAGTTTCACATCACTGGTGGGTGCCAGGCTGTTGCAGAACCTTATTCTTCGGGACACGACAGGGCCGAAGAATGCTCATGATCTGCAAAGCGTTAGCACAAATTGATGATTGATGAATAGAGGATGCAAATCAGCATCAAACAGCCAAAGTCTCTTGTGACACCCAACCAATCTCTTGAAGTTTACAAAACTGGATTATGTTTGATTAGTTTATTTATCTGCCGGCCTTTGGTCCAAACATGTCCAAGAAATTTTAGCACTTTTTAAAGTCCTCTCCAACTGCCTGGGGCACAAGCTCCCACAGGTTGTTCACGTCTGCCATTTCAGGTGGTTTGATCCTGGCCGAGAAAAAGTGGAGTAGGTAACACCAACACCTCATGCCTGGGGGTGCTGGTCCTACAACTTTAGCTTACATAGCCATGGTCATAGCATCCAAGACACAAACAGAAGAGTCACAGCCCTGCTGGCAGCGTCACCACCCAAAGCTCTCGTGTCTAAGCACAGCATCCGTTTCTTCTCACCGAGAGACTTGAATCAACTCACTAGAAAACCGCCTCATGAAAATTACAATGTTCATGCGTAGTTATGCGTAGTTTAATTCAAAAGGAAGGACACACTAGGAAAAACGAAGAATCTGAACGGGTAGACAAACAAAGAAACAAATCAAGAAAGGAGAAAACAAAGAGACCGACACAATTATAAACCAAAGCCCTTTGACCTCAAAGCCAGGCCGGCAAGACTGCTGCAGCAGGCATGTCCTGGATATGCAAATTCGCCCGAAGGTGCACTTCACTCGATTTTTGCGTGTTCCGTATCTATATGTTACAAGTTTTCTTTATTGGACGAGGGGTAGGTTGGTAAAAGAAGAGACAACAAGCAAGTAGTTCGTAGTCAGGGGTAGGTAGAAGAACTGAGAAACTACTGTTACTATTAGCTAGGACGCAAAAGAGCTACGGCAGACTTCCTTGAAGAACCCTTGATGTTTGGGGAAACTCAACAATTCATCTGCCAACCCGTCAACGATTGACACAATCAACATCAATTGATTCCAAATCAAGGCAACAATTATTGCAAAGAAGTCGCAAAGAATCTCCGAATCCAAAGGTCCTAGTAGCTTCTTGATTCATTTCTAATTAAATTTAGATTAGTCTTAATTCTAATTCTAATGAATTCTTGTTAGTAGCTTCTTGTTACTAGTAAGGCCAGGAGCCCCTAGTAGCGATGCCCTTTGCTCCTAGTAGGGTCCCTGTTTCAGCCAAAGATTGACTCCGGCCATCGGTCCGCATGGGGTCAAAGCCACAGTTGTTGATCTTTCCCTTGTTTTTGTTCTGAGTGTTGATCTCACCTGGCACGTCACCAGCACTCTTTAAGGGTATCATGCTGTGTTGATAGGAGAAGCTGGGTGGCAGTTGGTTGGAATTTCTCCTCTGAAGGAAAGTCGCTATATTATAGATATATATTATGTGACTGACAAACCCAAGCTTGTTACATGGTCTTGCACAACCTCTTGGGGAACTTCCACACGACCTATTCAATATGTCACCACCAAAGGCACGCCTTGAACAAAGGACGGCTGAAAGGCTCCAACAATGGCGAACTTCAATCGTTCGTGATCCTCGAAGGAACACAAAGTATTAAAGTTTAGTTCCAGAAAGTACTCTAAAGATCTTAAAAGTAGTGGAAAAAAGTACACTTCAACGTCCGCCGGATGTTTGTCCATGTCCTTTTGCTGCCAGGGCCGAGGTAAAGGCTGGGCACATCGAATGTCGTGCTAGCAAATTGCCTTTTCCCTTTGGCATTTCAAATTCACTTTGAAATCATTTAAGAACTCAGCCGACTCAGCCCACCCTCCTGAATTGTCCCCGTCAGCATATCTTGTAGAAACGTTCTCTGATCTTTCTGAGAGCAACAGCTCTGCTGTTCCGGAAAATTTCTTGTCCCATGAAGTCCTTGGTGAACAATTTCTCCACCTCTGCTGGGGGGAGCTGCTGGGACCTGCAGGACAGCGTTGTTGAACAGGAGAAACACGAAAGCACTGTGTCTGTATATGTTTGTAACACATTGTAGTGTCACCAACTCAAGCCAGGCGGGGTGTCTATACCGAGATTTTTGGGTTCATGTTGCACTTTGGGTTTGGCCAGACGACCATTTTCTTCATCATCTCGCCATTGGGAGGACATTTATTTGGGCGCTTGGACATGACCCAAAGATAAAGATGGAAAGAAGGTATATGTGGGTGCTGGGTGTGTGTGATTTCAGTATAGCCTAGTGAGTGTAGCCCTACTGAAATTGTTTCAGAACCATTTTGAATAGAAACAAGTTAGGATGGCAATCAAAAGACAAGCGAAGCAGAAAGCATGAAATCGAGCAATACCAAGACGAATCGCAACAGCAACATCACTTTGGGCCGTTGCAACTCGGCAAATTTACAGCAGCAACATGGGATGTTTTCAAATGCTGGCCAATGCCTTGTGAGTTTTCTCAATAGCAAGAAAGAAGGTAAGCAACTTAAACATCCAGGAACCAAATCATTAGTGCGAGCATGAGCTATCCTGCGTCCGGTAGGTAGTAGCTTAAATAGCTATATACTAGCTTGCTCCCTTACTGGGAGTGGGCAACTTGCCGTAGTTCTCCCCTACCGTCCCTCCGATCAGCCTCTTGAGAGCGGCCAAGCTCTTGAGGGCCGGATGAGCCTCTCAATGGACCACCAGGGCTTCCACTGCAAGGAAGCAGTAGTGAGTATGGCTAGTAGCAGTGGCCGTTAGCAGTACGTAGGAGTAGCAGTAGGAGGCAGTAGGAGTAGGAGGAGAAGTAGTCGCAGGGAGGGTTCAAGCAAGCCTTGAGGGAGAGGGACAAATTCAGTCAAACCTCTCGATATATATATATATATATATTATATATATAACTCTGGTTTTGCGGCGACCTCATCCGCTTTGCCCTGAAGAAAAGACTACCAACATGATGATTCTGACAAGAAGAAAGACCATGAAACACTCACTATGAAAACAAGTTCCCCTGGCATCTTGGCAAGTTCCTTCCACTGCTGCACATGCATACATTTTGCTTCATTGCGTCGGGAGCCAGCCACCCAGGTCGCCCTGGCTGGCAGTGGTCACCTCACGAAGTGATGAAGCAACATAAAATGATGTCTGACAAACAAAAAGCGACAAACAAAAGTTTGGTGGGGACAAGGATCTAGTAGGAATATGTGTATATATGTATGATCGCATGTCAATCCTCATATCAATATGCAAACCATGTCCATCCTTATACCATACACCATCTGCCTCTATCATTTTGCTACTGGTAGCAAAGGGCATCGATATGGAACAAAGGGCATGGCACCTCCGTCTCTGGCACTGGAGCGAACAGCCTTTGGCCCGCACAGGTACCCTCTAGCAGCTCCTGCAGCTCCTGCCCAAGAAGTTTGGGCGTGTTGATGCTAGGGTCCTAGGGGAAATGAGTCGGAACCAAACCATGAAGAGAACTCTGCGAACCCACAAAGCACAAAGCAAAAAGGAAAGAAGACAAGGCTGAAGTCTTAAAACACAACGCAAACCAAGGACTTGGACCAAGGACATCGAAGGAAATGATGAGGTTCTTCTCCGAAGAAACAACACTGACAACGAATCAAGCTCGACAAGCTCGACAACACCGTGGAATGCAGGACCTCGACGACCTCACTGAAAAGGCAAGCGCATACTCCGCCAAATGATTCAAACAAAATTGCTATGTCACTGCCGAATTCACTAAAACGGAACCAATTGCATCTTGAGCCAAACCCACGTCCTCTGGCGAAAGTCCACCCATGAGCTCAGCAAGCCTCCCCTTCACAGTGTCCCCCAAGCGTCGCAATGCTGGGGGAGTGTCCTCGTGCAGCAAAATCAATAATTCGAACTTCCTTGCTTCCTTGCTTCCTTGCTTGCTTGCTTGCTTACTTACTTGCTTACTTTCTTCCCTTCCTTCCTTGCTTGTTCACAAAAGAAAACTTGAAAGGGCTTTGGATCCTAATTCTTAATGACTCTTGTGTGACAAAGATCTGCGCAAAGCAAAGCAATCTGCAGTGACACGACACGATGCTACATTGCTCTAGTATGCCCTAGTCACTAGGTATCCCAAGGTCACCTCCTCAGTACCTAGTATATACTACAAAGCCTAACCTTACGGAATACTTACAGACTGTCATACGTTCTCCTCTGCCCAGTCATCTGCCAACTCAGTAAGCAGTCGTGCCGTGCTGAAGCTGCTCGGCAGTGCCGAGACCTCACGAAGCCGCTCCACTAGGCCACCTCACGCTGCCAGCTGTCGCTGTCCCGGCTCTGCCAGCGTTCAACCGCGAAGTGAGTGGACACATGAACCAGAACTATACATTTACATACATTTACATGACGTACGAGGGCGTACAAAAACTATGGGAAAACTGAAAGATCTTTGGAAGACCATCAAAGACCAATGGGACCAATGGTTGAGATATGGTAATTTCTGTAATCTGTGTGCGCTTCATGGTGATCTGCGGTAGTTTGCGACAAGTTGTCACGAGTTCTGGTCACAGCCACCAATCGATGCAAAACCGCCTTTCCCCTGCGTTTTCTGTACCATCGGAAACAAGAACAAGCAAATGCAGGGATTCCAATTGTCAGCTTGTTTAGAGGTTTCTCTTCCGAGTTTTATCTTCCGAACTTGTTGGGCAAATTTGGGCAAAGCAAATGGAGCACACAAGACTATGGAATCATAAACCACCTCTTTGCGAGGTCAGGTTTGCATCAGCCTCTGATGCCCCGCCTGTAAAGTCCTCTAAAAAGCGATGTGCTAGAAGGGCACGGCATCGGGGGTTCTGCTGGAAAATACCTGGGTCAGCACCAGCTGCAAGTAAGTTTTAGTTGCAAAAGGGCTACGACGTGTGGTGTGAGCAGTGTGTGTTCATAACAACAAGTTGCCACCTGCGGGTTCAAGAATGAGAGATTGACATCCCCTCTGTCGTGTCCTGAAGTTCCAACATTTTCCAACCCATTGTTCCCTGTTTTTTTTGCAATTCTTTCATCAATTGGCTGGCCATCCAAGGTCCTCACATCGTGCTGCTGCAATCTATCCAAAAACCCAATAGAGCCAAAATTGTCAGAAGTGTATGATGGTGTCCAACAGCTGACGAGATACTCATCTGGTCGGCAGGTGGTTCTGCACACCAGAAGTTCAAAGATATATTATCGCCTGAACCTGTTGCAAGTGGCAAATCCAACTAGTAACAAAGGGCATCGCTACTAGGAGCAAGAAGCTACTAGTAACAATGACGCGGGCAATAGGTGAAACGGTGGAATGGTGTGTCAAACGGTGAAACTGAGGAAGGGGAGTAGGATTGAGGAAGCCCCTTTCTGATCCTTCGGATTCTGATCGTGTAGGCCGGGTTCGTGCAGGCCTTACAGTTTTTAAAAGGGGAAAGAAAGAAGGAAGAAAAGAAAACGTCTAAAGGTCCAAAGAAACAAAGAAAATAATGGTATGCAGAAAGACATTTCCTGGTCTTTCTCTTGTCTTTAGGAGAGGAAGGTAGGAGATGGTAAGAGGGTCGGCTGCTAAGAAGGGGTAGGAGAAGGTGGGAGAAAGGTACAGTAGGAGAAAGGTAGGAGAGGCAAAGGGAGTAGGAGATGGGTAGGAGATGAGTAGGGGACAGAACGGTCCAAGTATGCATTTGAACAGATTTAAGCGGTAAGAGGCAAGTAGTGGCAGCTAGCAGCTAGGAGACCTTGGAAGCTACCTACGGACGCAAAATGGGCTCGGGTTCGCGTGGTGGACTTGGCTCCTAGATCTTTAGTGAGGTTTAACTTTGTTCGGCACCTATCGTGGTACCTTCTTCTGAATCCGACGGCAAATGACGCCTTGTCCTCCCTACCCTATAGGACAAGAGATTGAACAGCTGGTGGCAATGAACTTGAAGGGTTTGGAAGTGATGTATGATTGACAGGAACAAGGACGCTACTAGGGGCTCCTGGCCTTACTACTAGGAGCAAGAACGCTACTGGTAACAAGAAGACCAAAACATTGAAGAGGCACAAAGAGCACAAAGAGAGAGAGAGAGAGAGTGAGAGACAGACTAGGAGGAAGGATGCTACTAGGGGCTTGGCGATCTTGGTTCGCCTTGGATCGCCAAGCCAAGGCACTTTGGGTCACCTGGTGCCACCAATACTTCGGCAAATAGAGCAGGCCCCCTGGCTCCAAAGTTGCCTGAGCTTCTTCAATTCTTGTTGACCACTTTGGCGCCAGTTGCAACGGAAACTGTTGGCTGTAAAGCTCTTGAGCAATATATAATTGACGTTTGCGCAAAAGAAGGCGTTCTTGTAACGGCAAAGGATAGTGATGTCCAGGACTCCAAATGACCTAAGGTCCTTTTAAGCCTCCTTTTGGTCTGGGTGGGCGGGATCTAAGGTCGTGAAGTAACAACATGTACAAAGTGTAGAAGTTGCCCCTCAATCTGTAGCATTGTACATCCATCAATGCCCTCTGAGAGCCTCGAAGCATTGCAACCGAGCAAAGCGGTCAAATCCTCAACTGGACAAAGCGACACTTTTGTATGTAAAAAGAGTACAACTCCTGCTCTCTTGCAGAACATCCAAAGGAATTGCACTCTTTACATATCTTTACGTACTGCTTTATGCTGCATGTCATCTGGCTTCCAATAATTCAATTCACATTCCAAATTCACCAAATCCAACCAATACCGAGAAACATAGCCATACTAGAGGCACCCAGCTGTCCTATAGCAAGCTACATCTACTTCGCGACAAGTATCTTCAGACTAGAATCGCTGCAAATCAGGCCGATCGAAATCCACCATGGAGAAAGAGTCCAAAGGATGATGTATTGGATAAGGGTAAACAGCCTTGGCAGCTTGGTACGTTCACCGCATTGAACTTGCTTGTCTTGCTTTGTGGTTGCTCCCATGGAAGTAGGAAGGTGTCTGCAGGACTTTTTGTGGAATCAGCTTCAAGTTGAAGCGTCTCTCATGGCTTTTAGAATATGTATGGCAAACGATTGATTCCAAAAAACTCTATATACATGTGTTCTACTGTTCTCAAATAAACGAGATTACATGCCTGGTCTCTCAGCTTCTCTCAGAATACAATATTGATGGGCAACTATGTCAATGTTCGCTCCGTTCTTGGCCGTCCACACACGCTACAAACGAGAACGCATTCTTTGCACTTCCTAAGATCTATGTATTGTTAAGTAGACCGCTCTTTTTTGAAAAGGAAAATACATGAGTGTATTTATCATTGCGCAAGCGAGGCTCAAAGGTTTCTTCAGGGGGAATCAGCAGGAAATGCCTCAGCCGTGTCTTGTCATCCCGCTTTAATTCTTACCCAAAGTTGAGCGGTTCAGAAAGTACCCGACATGACTTTACACCACACAGCTTATCTTCATCTGCTTGGGAAAGAAAGTGATAAAACAACAGGGATTGAAGCCTGCGTGTGCATGAAAACTGGAGAAGCTCTAGTACGCTGAAGAGCTTGTAGAGATGTGTACGGATGTGTGGAGGGGTAGTAGAGGGGTAGTGACTAATGAAGTCCAGGAATTTAACGTGACCTAAAGTGACCTAAGACCTCCAAAAGTACACAGAAGCACCAGTGACAGTGAGCAGTAACGTAAAATTATCTTCGTGCACGACGGCTAAATGCACAGGAATTGCTTTCGCCCTGAGATCTGGATGTGAAGGTTCTCCGCCTTGTCGTAGTGGCATGGCGTCAAGTTGCCACCACGTCCGATCCAGAGTTGGTTGTTGTCCTGGGCCACAGTGACAGTGAATGCATGTCGATGCCATGTGTAAAAGCAAACAGTTTGCCGGCAGCCTTGCTAGCGGCCTGCCAACGAGATGTACTCATATTTGACACCGTGTCAATCCGATTTTGTTCGACGTCATGTTCATGTCTTTTTGCTCTCTTTTTCTGCCATCGCAAACAAATTCAAAAACGAATGGAACCACATGCTGACAAATATTGAAAATATAACCTTTTTGTTCCATTGTTGATACATAAAATATTTGATACTTACGGACTGATACTTTGTAATGAAAAAACATGAAACCCTCATGTTCGACCCAAAAGTGAGGCTTAAGGATCTTGAGGGTCCTGAATTTGAGGCCAGGCTTGTTTGCCCATGTGACATGCACGTGATGTCGCGCGTCATGTACGTCTCAATACATCACCTGTAGATGGCCTCCAACCAATTAGCAATGGCCTCCACCCTAACAGCGACTTCTGTCATGTACGTCACCTGTAGACCAAGCTTCGAGTTCTCCTAGTGCAGCCTTTGCTGCAACATCCCACAGCCATTGGAAAGACTCGCGATCCTGTCGCATCTCTGCACCGTACGGATCTTCGCCTGCAAGAATGCCAGTCAAGAGTCAAAAAACAATGGTATCCAACCTAGAAGGGATGGCCGTAGCAAATATTTTAGCCTACCACTTGCCACGTACATGAATCATGAACGCTTTCTTTGCTATTCCTGGGACGTTCTGAATGCCTACACTACGGGAACTCTGTTCACTTGAATGCTCCCTTTCTTCCGATAAGTTTGAGTCAATTTGCGCACTGAGTGACAGGTCAGCGGTGGCAACATCTATATAGTGACTAAAAAATCTTCGGACACAATCTTTGAGCCAGAAAGTGCCCAGTGACTAAGTGGAATCTTTTCGCAAGCCGTGAAGCTGCCTTCTGCGTGTTCGCACGGTTGTAGGGCCGCTATGGGGAAATCCCCGCGCTGGAAGAAAACAAGAAATCAGTTGTCCAAATTTAAGGTACCAACCTAATAGCGATGGCCTCCACCCTAATAGCAGATGAGCCTCCACCAAGTTGCCAATCCACCAGAAACCAATCAGTTGCTTCAGCCCCAAGCACTGACGGGCATGTTTCTTTTCTGCCCTGTTTGGGTTCTATTTCCACCTTGTCACGCATGGGCTCTTTTTCAACCCTGCGCAGGGTTTTTTTCCATCGTCACAGTGTGGAACAAACTTCACAGCAGAAAGCACAAACAGACTCGTTGGTGACGTGCTACTTACTTCAGGCTGATGCTGGCTGTCAACTGGGATCCTCACCATTTGCCGCAGACCCATTCTCAACCTCAGAAGAAATGGCAGTGAATGCTTCGCACACCAATCAATCATTTTCCACAGTTCTTGTTGACATGCGTGGCAACTGACCCAGTCAGCATGCGAACCGGATTGATTCAAATCAACGACATGTTTTTCTCAAGTCAAAACTTCTGCAAATTGCAAATGGTGATACAGGACATGACAAGACATCTGTCTGCAGACTCACTGGGCCATCAACCAATTATGAACAACCATTGTCGTCAAATGAATACAGACTCTAGAGAATCACATTCCAAATAGCTTCACACTTTGTAATGTAGACAGGCCACACTCCCTTCTAGCTTCACCCGATCCCGTGGCTGCTCTGACAGTGGCATTTGGTAGTGGTGGCAAGTTCTCCGCAATGATTGCAACTGATCTGGCAGGCTCAGGGCCGTGAATGGATTTGATTTCCTTCCAAGCCTGTCTTGCATAATCCCTTAGTTCTCTCAAAGGTTGCAGAAGGGTCTCACCATTCGCATAGTCATCCTTGGAAAACACCACTGCCCCCTCGTACACCCTGCTGTAAATAGAAGCGAGTTGAGTTGGTCCCGATGCACTTGGTTCTGTAACTGTCGGGACTGTCCCACCAGTGCCTCAAGGTTTGGGCGCACTTTTGTTTGACCTCCTTTGCCAAACCCAATGGGCAAAAAAGTCCACTAGAATCCACCACAGCAAAGTCGTAGTCCCCTTCAGGACCAACAGGCCACTTGCAAGGAACAACGTTCTTGTCATGGCAATCCAGGTGCAATGCTTTGAGTCGCTCAACGCTTTCAATGATTGTTTGAGCTCCCCAAATCATGTACTGAAGCCAAAACTTTTCAGACTCAAATCCTCGCAGACTCGAGTCTTCGCTCACCTGACCCATGACCTGATTCATATTTATTCCAGGCCCACAACAGGTCGTCAGCAACACTACTGCGTGGCGCTGGTGGAACTCCTAAAGAGCACTGGAGCTATGAAAAACGGCAAGTGGCTTTGGCATATTGGCAATCTTGACGTCATTGTCCTGAACCTGCTTCAGAAATTTGAAATCATTCAGTGTAGCAGGATCCGCCTCAGCCGGAACTATCTTGCATATGATTGCCACGGAGACCTCGCATGCCACGGAGACCTTCTTCATTGTGTTCTCGCTCTCGCGTGTTTTTTCAAGGCATCTCTGTGCGCACCCTTGCCAATATGCTCAAAGTGACACAGAACCTTCCTGTTGTCCAAAAGGAAAAGGGTGACCAAACCACGAGCAGGAAGGTTTTTGATGAAGGGCTTCACCTTTGGCGCTGACCAGTTGCTGGAACTGTAGTGCAACACGAGGTCATTCACTTTACTCTTACCTTCACTGATCTCTCTTGGAGAGCAAGAAAGTCATGCTCTGATGGCAGTCGGTTCATCTTAGAACTGACTAGTCGAGTCACCTGTTTCCTTGAGCCGGTTAAGGCCTATTATTATTGAGTGAGGCATCAAGACATCCAAACAGACTCTTGCATTGCGTTTTAGAACAAACTTCTACAACCAATTGAATTGCTGATTAATTCTGCGAATCCAACAAGTCACCAATTCAATTTCTGCTCTGAGACAAAGACAGATGGCAAGCTGCGACAACCTTCTTATCGCAATTTGACCTTGCAACCGAAACCACGTCCGCCACAATGCAAGGTCAAGAGATATAGTCATCACCCTACATTTCAACACTTTTAGACAGCATGAAACTATTCGGTAGAGACCCATACTAGATCTGACAGTTTCTTGACAATGCTGCAGGGCACCGCGCCAGTCAGTACAAATTGACTTTGATTCAAATACTGAGTCCAAAACAACTGTTGAAGTTGGCCAAGCACCACACCTCAAACAGCAAACGCAATCCTCTCAGAAAATATACCCAACCTTTGAATCCTTTTCTTGTAGACTTAACTGACAGTTTTTGCACCCTTGCCACCTGTCAGTCTCTCAGACCTGATATTATGCTTCTGCTTCTGCACGGCCTCAGCATGAATTCAACTTTCAATGAACCTTCAGTCACTAGCACTGTAGGACACCTCATTCACTGTTGCGCAGTGAGAACAAAACACTTTGCTATTTTTGCACAGGGCAGAAAAGAAGCCCCTGCAGGGCAGGAAAGTGCAGGGCAGAAAAGAACCCTGCAGGGCAAGAAAGAAGCCCCTGGACACCAGGAAAGAAACCGGGCAGGAAAGAAACTGCAGGGCAGGAAAGAACCCCCTGCAAGGTGGCAGAGGAACCTCTCCAGGGCAAGAAAGAAACCCCTCAGGGCAGAAAAGAAGCCCCTGCAGGGCAGAAACGAAGCCCGTGCAGGGCAGGTAACAAAGAAACCTCTCCAGGGGCAAGAAAGAAACCCCTGCAGGGCAGAAAATACAGAAACCCCTGCAGGGCAGAAAAGAAACCCTTGCAGAGCAGGATGCAGAAAAACAATCCTCTGGGCAGAAAAACAATCCTCTGAGTAGCCTACTTGTCTGAAACCACCAGGTCCACAAAGGGCGAAAAAAAAAACACAGGGAAGAATTAAAACCCAGCCCAAACACTGAAGACCCCCTTAAAGAGAACGCTCAAGAAGAGCATACTATGAACCGAAGCAAAGAATGTGAGGCCTCTAGAGGTATCACGGTATCGGTACGTATCTGTCACATGGTAAATTAAATCAACATGTCAAGATATGTAGATACATATAATTGTCAACTTCAAGACCTGAAAGACTCACTTACAACAAAAGCTGGAGCATTCAATTTTGTTAAGCCACCTGAGGAGTGAAACCCTTGTGTAAACCTAGGTTCGTCTCCACACAGAAACTATCTCTCTGAAAATCTCACGTGCACCAAAGTTGCCCAGCTCTTGCAACGGACGTCCAGTATACGGCACTTGCCTCAGTTTCTACACTTGCTGCTTGGTTCAGATGTGCTATATTTTTCACGCAAATGAGCTGGGGACCGCATTCATGGTTTTTTCAAGCATCTCTTTTGGCCATGAAGCATGTAGTAGGAATGTTGGCTGTCAGCAGCCAAACTCTTCTTCGCGAACTCTGGGAAGCTCATCAAAGAAACCAAGCCTTCACCAATGCCTCACATTGCATGCGACAGCGCTATACAAACACTTGAGCTTTGGTGGGAGCGGCAATGCCTCTGGCAAGAGGATGCAAAAGGCTGGAAAAGTGTTGAGATGTTGATCCGGAGTTCGGGACAAGGACCCGCTGTTGTACTCACACACGCACAAAGGCAGGCCTTCAGTCTCTGGCAACTTGAAACCAAATGGCCTTGTAATCTCTGAACAATGTCCTTTTCCATTTGATTGGTGAAAGGTTGGTGCCTTGTCCGTATACTCTCTGAAAGCGCTGGTTCTCTTTGGGCACCAAATGCACCCGCCAATTGGAGCCACTCATTTGGCCTGAGTTCTGGCTCGACTGTCTCGACTGGCTCGGCTTGGTTAGCCCTTGCAGCTCCCATGTCTTGGGCCAAAGAAAATGAAGCGTTCCTCTCAAGGAGATTTTTGATGCTTAGCTGCAACAACCACTGCGCCTCCAACCTAATTCCAATGGCCTCCAACCTAGAAGCGATGGCCTCCAACCTACTAGCGATGGCCTCCACCCTAGTAGCGAAGGCCTCCTTTCAAGGAGTTTTTCGATGAACTACAACAACCACCGCACCGAATACTCCTAACGACAAGTCGACGACAAGGACACCTTGACACTTGGACTCAGATCTTCTGAGGCTGCGTAGGCTATCGTAGGCTCTGTTCTTATCTCAAAGTAACGTTCCAAGTACTCGAAGTTCCACTTCTCCGCCACATCTGAACCTCAAGGTGTTGCAATCAGCATACGCTAGCCCTCATCAACAGTGGGTTCACACAGGTTCTCAAATCACATATATAAGTTCACAAACAATAGGTTCACAAACCATTCGCATGTTTTAAGGTGCTGTTGAGATTGTTTGAGATGTTGTCGAACTTGGTCAAGCGGCCGTACCCTTTCAGCACTGAAGGTTGTCGATCGTGCAGCTGCCCAAGGAATTCGTTCCAGCTCTCAACAGGCCTCAGCTACGATGCAGCACCATGCAAAGCCTCCAAAGCAACAACCCAAACACCTCTTTTGCAAGACAGGTGAAATCAGGTGAAGCAGTATTTCTTTGTGAAAGGGGCAGAAGGTATTGCGTGTTGCACAGCAGTATTGAAAAGTATCAAACATTTGAAGAGTCTGACAGCCACAAGTTATTCAGAGGCCCACAGCAATCTGACTGGAGTTGTGGCGCAAGCATCGACAACTCTCCGCTCCTATCTCCCACAGGCAAGGTGCACAGGTTCTGGCTGCAACCACTCTGGGAACCGCCTGGCCACAAATCTTCTACAAGAGGTGCGTAGAACCGCCTGTCGAAAAAGCATGCGACACAACACGGCGTGCAAAGGATCTTGCAAAGCATCGTCAGCAGAAACATTCCGAAAGGCACATTAAAGCAAAAGGGGCATCATCTTCTCTTGTAGAAGCTGAGTTGACCTTCCATGAACTTAAACAAATCTGTGACGTCTGACGCATGGAAGGTAAACTGAATGGAACCAAATGCAGGACGTTGCTCCTTTTGTGCTGACTCCTTTCCGGTTTTTTTGTGACCTTCTTGTGACTTTCCCTGAAGTTGACGTGAGCCTTCACCACAAATGAGCTGGCCACTAAGACAGCCCTGCCAGGGCAGCGGAAGCTGCGCATCGGCGCCTTCCTGAGGAAATCGAAAGAGATACAGTTAGCAGCAGTAGCAGGATTCATAACTCTGTTTCGGCAATGACTCCACAGGTTTCTATTGTTTCCGCCAACATAACTAGTTGGAATAACACATTGGATTACACATCATGCAAAAGGAAGGCAAGTCAAACAGTTTTAAGCAATGTATAATTCTAAAAAGAACAGCTAGTCGAGTTGACATCAGCGCGTTTCCACCCTTCCAAGCCTGTTAAGAAATCACAAAGTAAAACGCAAAAAGTGAATAGCATGTTCTAATCAGAAGAACAGGAAAGCTGCAACCAATGTTGCTTCAATACCCATTCGGGTGGAATGCCAACCAGAACGAGAAGAAAAAACACAAATTGAGCAATTATATTGAATTAAAATTACATTACTAGTAACCGTGGACGATCATGGTTAGCGGTTAGTACAGGCCTTGATCGAAAATTGTGATAATCGTTTACCGACTGTTACAGGTAATGGGACAAACCTTAGAAATAGTCAATTGTGTGCTTGACAAAGCAAACAGGGGTGAGGCAACGTATACAAAGAGTAGCAAACCAAGAGCGACATCACTGCAGGAATTGAACGCCCTAGCCCTCCAGCCTGGCTTCCGACATGGGAGCGTGCTCGGCACAGCGCGACACTGGGCGCAGCGTTATAGCGGCCATTGTCAAACACAAAGGCGCTGGGCCAAAGAGAGTAGAACCATCTGGCATTTCTGAAGCAAAGATGCCTTTCAGTTTTTCCTGTACCCTATAAGAGCGTACCTAGACAATCAAAGTCGGCAGCCCACCTCAGGAATATACATTTGGCCTTTGTGCAAATACTTTCAGAAGCTTTCAATATTTCGATACATTTGGCCTTTGTGCACACCTTGCAGGTGGGTCCACTTCCTGTTGTAGTTCGTGTGTGTGAATTTATGAGCCTGCAACTCAACCATGTGGAAAGCTGTCGGGGCCAGTCTTGATTTGCTGGAGGGACATTCAAACAGCAATGCAACAACCAGGCTCCGTGAGGAATGCAGTTGCAGTTGACCTACACATGCTTGGCAACCCTTGATTGAAACACATTTGAAGCTACATTCATGCTCACCTAGGGCGTGTGTCAGCGGCATGCACCAAGACTTGTGGGCCACGTTTTAGCCGATTTAACTCACTTCTACGACATGCCTGAAGCCAAATGTCCAGAATCCCTCCAAAGGTGCTGGAACGTGCTTTCACATCAGTGCACCAAGCCCTAAACTCTGGGCTTTTCGGGGATTCTTGGAGGGACTCGGTAAAGTTTCACAAATTTCCTCCAACTCATGATGTTCATGGTCCTTGATAAAGTCTTCTTAAAGTTCTCAAGACTCAGAGGCACCTTCGCGCTGGGCACCGCTGCCCCAAGCTTCGCGGCGAGCTCTACAACCAGGGCAGCGAACTGGCTCATGCCTTGCAGTGCCGCAGCGTGAATACGAGCTTGTTTGCATGTCAAAGGCAAGACAGTACACCTTGACCTTCTTTTCTTGACCTTCGATGGTGTATTTCCACCTCAAAATAACGTAACTGCAATGGCGTACTTCATACTAGTAACAAGGACGCTACTAGGGGCTCCTGGCATCGCTACTAGGAGCAAGGACGCTACTAGGAGCAATGGTGTGCTTCATACTCCCAATCCAATATCTCACAATGCTCCAAAACTTGCCGGCACGACGACTTACAGACACGCAGCATTCATCCAACCACTGGTGGTATTGCCGAGCCTACAGTATCCAGCCGGTTGGGGCAAGGGCTCGAAGGACTTGAAGTCTTGGGTCTGGGATGGAACTGAAAAATATGTTTCTATCTCAATAGTCAATAGGAGTACTCCAGTACCTACTAGCAATGGCCTCCACCCTAAAAGCAGTGGCCTCCACCCCAAAAGCGATGGCCTCCACCCTAAAAGCGATAGCCTCCAACCCAAAAGCAATGGCCTTCACCCTAAAAGCGATGGCCTCCAACCTGCTAGCGATGGCCTCCCTCAAAGGGATGGCCTCAAACCTACTAGCGATGGCCTCCACCCTAAAAGCAATGGCCTCCACCCTAAAAGCGATGGCCTCCAACCTACAATGGCCCCCACTCTAAAAGCGATGGCCTCCACCCTAAAAGCCATGGCCTCCACCTCCACCCTACAAGCGATGGCCTCCAACCTACTAGCGATGGCCTCCACCCTAGAAGCAATGGCATGGTGATATTGTGTGATATTGAAACTTTTGAACAGTGGTTGTCTTCAGCTGTCTTGTGCGGCTAAGGAACATTACTTTTCGGCACTTGCAGGTACTCTTTGTACAAGTTGCGATACCTGGCAGCAGTTGGTGAGTTTGCAACAGCTGCAACCATGAGTCCATACATTTTCCCCGTGGCAAATTCCATCTCCATCCTACAGCTCTTCAACAAGTTGTACAAGTACAAAAAAAAATCCACTCCGCACTTTCTCGTGGTTGCTGCGGGATGTCCTATGTTGTGCTACGATGATGAGCCGGAAATACATCTATAACAAGAGATCTAAAGTCTAAGGCACACAATGTTGGTGTTCACATACCAAAAGCTGATCTTCCTGAAGAGCAAACCAGGAATTGTTTGGATCATGCGAAGGGTAGTACCGTTTCTTTGTTTGCCCGTGGCCCTGCCTCCTTACCTAATTAAGCAGGCGCCTACTGGACGCTCCTAGCTACTTGAGCTACATTAAGCTATTGACTACTGGACGCAGGATAGCTCACGCTTCTTCAAGGAAGCTCCCCGGGGGGGAGCTTCCTTGAAGAAGCGCTCACACTAATGGTTTGGTGCCTAGTTTTTTTAAGCGACACTAAACGTCTGTTGCCTGGCCATATCTTGTACTTGACCTAGCTAGACCTAGACTTCCCTGAAACCCCCAAAGAATCGACGTCACAGGGTCACATGATGGGTTCCGAGAACTGCCCCGCATCAAAGCGGGCTCGGGTGATGTAGTTGTGCGAGAGATGGGCAGGAAAGTCCTGCAAACACTGTATCAGTGGACTGCACAAGAAACGGTATCAAAATGCATCAAACAACATGTATCCTGACATTGCACTGCATTCAAAAAGCCTGGTCGCCAAAGCACGGATCAACGAGTTGAAAGTAGATTGAACAACACAACACATGAAGGATAACGACATTTGAGGAAACGGAAGTTGTTAGAAAGATGCACTCCCTATCACACATAACAAGCGCAACCTTACCTACATGCGCTTGTCCCCAGGCAACATATATACCGCATGACGTTAGAAGTCTCAGGGTCCCAAGACCGCGTCGATAGTGTTCCGGTGACCTCTTTAGAAGATATACCTCTTCTAGCCCCTTCACGCAAACCTCACCAGGATGAACCAGAATCCAATAGACCGTCACATGCCGTCACCAAATTTTATAGGTCTAGGTTGGAGGCCATCGCTAGTAGGTTGGAGGATCATGCCGTTCCTGATTGCACAGCCTAGTAGCGAGGCCAGGAGCCCCTAGCAATAGTAGCTTCTTGTTCTTAGTAGCGATGCCCTTTGCTCCTAGTAGCTTCTTGGTAACCGCACAAAGAGTATCAACAAGTCATTTCGACACGTCTGCATGGACGTTGATCAGGCGTGATGTCCACACTGGAAGATCGTTACCAAACTCAACAGCGGCTCCAAGACTTGCGACCCCATCCCATGGTCAACCACATTGGAAGGCGTCACAGATCTGATGTGGAAAGTCACATGGAACCATGGAACATGCAGTCCAGTGAAGCTTCTAAAGGCAAAAGGCATGCACAAGGCTTACATGGCCTGAAGAGCAGGTGTTTTTGCCCGACAAATTTCTATACTGCACCTGACCGCGCCTTCCACTCATTAAGCTGACTGTATTTGGAAGATTTTCACAACTACCACTGGGATTTCCTGACTAGCTTTTTGAGGATCCCTGCAACTGCCAGGTGGAAGCTGGTGGGCAACAAAGCGCACGTTGCAAAGCAGCTGCCGAAACGGACAAATGTGGTTCATGCACCTAAGCAAAAAGCGCCAATCAAGTAAGGCAGGACGCTTGCGAAGTTTGTTGAACCCCGAGGGCAACGGTAAGCCGATACGATTCACACTGACCCACTGATTCGCTGCTGATATTTCACAGAGCCGCGAATCGAGGCTTTCGCAAAAAGTCACTTCTCTGCTGTGCGCCCTGTCCTCCTAAGCCCAAATGGAGTCATAATGTCAACGAATGGTTGATAAGTTCAACATTAAAAAAAAAAAATCGCGCAAATGGAGCTGAGTACGGCCACAGAATATATATCGGTTCGCTGGGAGAATTATGTGACATGAAATAATGCGATGATGCGATGTGCCCTGGATGTGCGAGGTAGCTTAGTACCCTTAGCAACTCTCCCGATGAAAGAGGGCATAAGCCTGTGTGACAATGCAGTTTGTTTCCTTGTGCTTCTACTTCGACCGCTGTGTTGGATATAGATTTTAGCGACAGCAGGGCCAGCAGGGCATCAGCATTAGCATCGCTCTTGCCGGATGTTTTCTCACCTGACTGACGTCGGTGCCTGAAAGGGTGCACTGAGCTGCACCTCCAACCTAGGAGCGATGGCCTCCAACTAAGCTGCACTGAGCTGCTATGATGTTGACGGATGATGTTGGAAGGCCCTGGCATGTTGCAAGCGGCAAGCGCATTGTGGTGCCTGGAACCTTCTCAGCACACGGAAATACACCCTGCATGGTTCCGGAGGGTTGCTGATGCTCTGGCACAAGGAATCGCAACACAAGAAACGCTGCAGGGCCCTGCTTTTCAGCTTTTGGCTTTGAAGCCAAGTGGCCTAGTGCGGCCGTGAAACCTGCCAAATACAGGCTCCAGATGTCTAGTCCTTGAGTGTTCCAGGCTTCAAAAGAATGGTGGCGATGCAGCCAGGGACATTGCCCCTTTTGCATGGCTGCCGCAAGGCGCTGCAAAAGCATGTCTGTGAGGTGCTCTTCCATGAACTTCCATGTCTTACCTATATTGATACCCGAGCCTCTGCTAGTCTCCCCGTGGCACTCTTTGACCAAAGGCAGACTTTCTTCACACATTGTTGAGAGAAAACTTTGCAGTGCGGCTAAAGGTGAATTTGCTTGGGCAAAAGAAGCACTGTAGCCGGGTTACAAACAGGTCAGTCATGTCAATGTAAATATAAATCAAAGAACTTGTTCAAGGTGATTGATCTCAAGATTGCACGGAATCTTAGCGTGTCCACATGTGTCCACTTTGGTTGAAATGCTCCACCGGCCGAAGGCACATTCGCTCCTCAAGGTTGCGGCAATTAGCGGGGGCCGCCATTTTGAAAACATCCTCAAGGGAATCTGCATTCCACCAGCAAAGTTGCAAGTGTAGAGTCATGTGGGAGCATCTTGGACGGCCTACTGGTCTGAGATTGTTGTGATTGTCCTCTTGGGTTTCCAATACTTCTTCTACTCTGGCGAAAAAGAACATTGCCAAACCAAACCCTGCATGAGCCATGCGAGCAGAATCCCCAAGCAAGCTTGGGAAGGCACTTCCCCAGCAAGAATTGATGTGACAAGCAAGTCTCCGGTTGGAGACGTATCAGTTGTCACACTCATAAGTTTGCGTTATGACATGCTGTCACGCGTCACGACCGACTATGACCCTGCCAAGCTCCTGGGTGCTGAGCGCTGCGGCAATGACGATGCCGTCTGCTGGGATGCCCAGCGCCCAGCTGAGAACTATCAACTTGGTGAGCTGAATCCTCGGGACGATCAACGTCGATGAACCGAAACCGGGAGCGATGGCCTCCTACCCAATACGAGTAGCACCCAGAACTCAACCGAATAAACCAAGAGTCTTTCAGTGTTATTTTCTGCAGACCTTGAGACCTTTCGAGGCTGGATCGAAAAGGGCGTTGAAGTAAAGTTCTTGTTCTACCCTCCCCCAAGCACATCCAAACACCTCAAAAAATGTCAACCTAAGAAGCAGCAAGGATCGTTTTCATACACCCGAGCCCTTGTTCTTCTTCTAGGCATCAAGCAAACTTGTTTTTTCGTCATCTTCTATCCAATAAGTCGGCTCAGCTTCCCCAAAATCAAACACTCTCACTGGGAAGGTCCCACGTGGTGGGCATGAAGACTGCAATTCGGCCCAAAGATGCAACCTGGAGGGCAGGTTGGGCAGGTTGGCTCGGACACATTCAGACCCGACGGAGATTGTTTTCGAGTCGCAGACTGTCGCCTGGGGGTCTTTGTACAAAATCCTTGACTTCAACTCCAGCCAGTTCACCGAACAAAACCTTGCGCAAATGTCTAGGTCAATCTCATGCAGCCGAGTCTTGCAATTTGTTTTGCTGCATTCTACCATTTCACCTTTTCACTATGCTCTTCACAAATTTCTGGATGGTTTCAGATCTTTCACAAGTTTCCTCCACAGTTTCACTTCCGTGGGTTGCTCAAGTTCTCAATTCAACAATGTGGTCTTTTGATGTCTTTCGATTGCTCGTCTCAGCATAAGACATGGGCAAGAGTCTTGAAGAAGAGGGACAGAACATGAACAACTATTCAACCAAAGAGTACCAAGAGTAATAACAAATGGAGAACGAACAGAAGGAACACGTTAAAGCAACGATGGCTACATCCACTGCATCCTACACCATATCCTCAAAGCAGGCATCTAGATATCAAAACTTTGGAGTATGGGCCTTTTAGGATCAAGGACACTATTAGGGGCTCCTGGCCTCACTACTAGGAGCAAGGACGCTACTAGGGGCTCCTGGCCTTACTACTAGGAGCAAGGACGCTACTAG